AAGATTAAATGGCCACCACCACCACCACTGAAACCCTCGCCGGAGAAACCGGTCAGCCGGCCAAAGTCCAGTTGGCCGTGATCGTGGTCCCGCTCCTGTTGCAGGGCCACCTCAACCAGCTCCTCCACCTCTCCCACCGCATCTCGGCCCGCGGCATCCCAGTCCACTTCGCGGCCCCCTCCACCCACAACCGCCAGGCCCGGGCTCGGGCCCACAATCCGGCCTCCTCCCCCGACCTCATATTCCACGACCTCCCGATGCCGGAGTTCGAAAACCCTAGCCCAAACCCTAATGCCGCCAACAAGTTCCCGGCCCACATGATGCCGCTCATGTGGGCCACCACCGATCTCCGCCAGCCGGTTTTCCAGCTGGCGGAGGAGGTTTCGTCGGTTGCCGAGAAGATAGTCGTCATTTACGACTCCTTGATGGCCCACGTCGTGCAGGACATCCTCACGATTCCGAACGCCAAGTCCTACTCCTTGGAAAGCATATCGGCTTTCGCGTTGTACTCCTACTTTTGGGAGACCTCCGCCGCCGGAAAGCCCGTTTTTCCGGCCGGGGTGGAAGTCGTCGGAGAAGTGGGCCCCACGGAGGGAAGCTACCCGCCGGAGCTTCTTGAGTTCGTGGGTATGGTGGATAGCTCCCCGACTTTCAACTCCGGGGAGATTCTCAACACGTCCCGGGAGGTCGAGGGTTTTTACGTCGATCTCTTGGCGAAGGAAAAGTTAACGGGGACGGGAAAAATATGGGCCGTGGGCCCGTTTTATCCGGTCGTGGAAATATTCGAGCGAAATAATAAGAGTTCGGGTTGTCATAGTTCTCGTGACAAGAGCTTGGAGTGGCTCGACAAACAGGGTCGTAGCTCGGTCGTGTTCGTGTCATTCGGGACGACTTCGTCCTTGCCGGAGGAGCAGATTTTCGAGATAGCTCGTGGGCTGGAGAGAAGTGAGTGTAAGTTTTTGTGGGTTTTGAGAGATGCAGATAAAGGTGATGTCTTTGCAGGTGATGATGTTAGAAGAGCTCCATTGCCACAAGGGTTTGAAGAGAGAGTCAAAGGGAGAGGGCTGATTGTGAGGGATTGGGCCCCACAGTTGGAGATTTTAGGACATCCTTCAGTAGGTATATTTGTCGTTACTCGAAAGGGTTCGACTTTTACCAGCAGTCACCGAGTTTTTTTACCGTTATTAATTTGTGTACAATTTTTTAGGGTTATTATGAAAATGAATATGATAATTGATAACTTTACAGGTGGTTTCATGAGCCATTGTGGATGGAATTCTTGCATGGAGAGCATGAGCTTGGGTGTGCCCATAATAGCATGGCCAATGCATTCGGACCAGCCGAGAAATGCAATCCTACTGACGAATCTGCTGAAAATCGGCATCCAAATCACGGATTGGGAACATTGTCACAAAATCGTGAAATCGGGTGCAGTTGAGAAGGCTGTAAAGATATTAATGGCGTCCGAAGAAGGAGATGAGGTTAGGAAAAGGGCTGACAGATTAGGGATTGCTGTTAGGGAGTCCTTGAAGGAAGGGGGAGCTACTGCCATGGAGATGGATTCATTCATTGAGGATATAAAGAAATAGAGAAGATATAAAATAAGGAATATTGAAGAAATAAAAAAGGGTTCAAGGGTTTTTAACTTTCATATGTTTCTTGAAAGAAAAAATTTATAAGGTACTATGTTAAGGCCTAAGGGATAAATTCAGGTATTTGCTCCAGGTATTTGCTCGAAATTAGACGGGACTTTGTTTGGGCTTTTTTGGAGCATGGAATGGGTGATTTGTGGTTCTTTGAGAAAAATTATGTAATCAGTTGTGTATGCCTTTTTTCTTTCAAGTAGTTTCAAATTTATAAAAAACTATTGTGCTATCAAGTATCAACACATACAATAAGTTAATACTCCAAACTCTGGTGTCAAAAAGTACATACTTATTCTATGAAATGTCATACTTTAGCTTGTGGTGTTTTTTTCCGAGTATGACATTTCAATTTTAAAGTAAGCATTTCAGTTGTAAAAATACGGTTGTTTAACAGTCAGGCCTGCAATTTCAGTACCACTAACAAGGAATATCGCTTTAAAAAGTTCGGAGCTTCATCCAATTGCATATTCCAATCAGTACAACAGCTTATCTATCGATACAAAATATCTAGACTTTTAGCAGATGTGCAGACAACACGACACCTTGTTCATAAATATAAACCATATTCAGAGAAAAACTAAGTTAGGACTGAGTTTCTTCACATTTTTCAGAATATACCTCTCTCTATATGTCTGCTTCATGGGTTGCTGAGGTTCTTGAGGTTCTCTTCCTGAGCATACCAACTGGGTACAATCTTGGAAAGGTGAGGATACAAATCCTTGAACGAGTTTCGTATTGTCCCTTCTGCAACTCCAGTGGCAATCGATATGTCTGTCACACGTTCAAATTATTTAATTTAGGTAATAAAACATGGAACAATGTGAATCCTCTCATCTATGGTGGCAAAACATTCTTTTTTTTTTTCTTTTATACCTTTGAGGGGTTTTTTATCATCTGAAAGCTGGTTGATTATGTAAATAACTGCTGCTGCAATTGAAATGGGACTCCTCCTGGAAAATGATACCAAGCCTATACAGTCAACAGAAGAATATATCTTCGGTACTAAGAAAAAAAAAAAGTTAGCAGACATCTATAAACAAGAAAAAACGAACACACACCAGTAACTACAGGAATTATTTTTTGTAATGTATACCATGAAGGCATGAACTTACTCTAATAGAGTAAGTACTGGATGTGAACACAAAATTTGTCTCCCATCGTTTGTCATATTCACGATCTACTAATGGAAGGAAAAANTCCTTATCAAACTACAACAATAGTTATTTTCTTCAATTGTTTTGTTAAAATTGGATTTGGTGTTTGGTGGTTGGTAAGAAGCTCACCATGAAATCACCAGCATGTATAGTCCCTATCTCCACTGACTGCCCCATCTCGATCTCTAGCTGTTTGATTATGAACTCTTTGGCTCGCCCAATTTCCTTCTTTGTTGCCCCATTGGCTGCCGAGCAAATTTCTGCCCATGCACAAAGTAAAAAACAAAATACTCATTTTAGCGGAAATAAATGTGGAAGCATCTAGTAAACATGGGACAAGTACAAAATTACACCTTGCATTCTGCCTAATTATATTCTCTCTTTCATCGGTAAAAAGAAAAGGGAAAAAAAAGAGCCCAACGTTTGTTTGGATTTGACACAAAATTAAATGAAGTTATATGAACCTTTTACAGTGCGAGGCTTGTCCTCTTGGCGACAGGCTATGTACAAGCAAGCAGCCAAAATGGCATCCTGATTTCTTCCTCGACATGACTTTTGATCCTCCACCTTCTTAAAAATCTCACTAGCCCGATCCTAAGAGGGTGAAATATTGTGCCATCAAGCAATTATGATTAAAAGAATGAAACATAATTGCAGCAATGTCTTTTCGAAGTGCAAGCAGGTGAACAATAAAAAAGTTAAGCATTCTATAATCATGGTACGGAAGAGCAGCAGGATTATCAAATCCTTACACTACAGTATTAATTAAAACACAAAATATAAATGACAAATTCGTAAACAGAGAAGTATGAGGCGCCCAAAGGCACAGAATAAGAAAATCCATCACAATGCTCTGTTTTTTATAAAGTAATTGATCACTTCCTATTAGACAATACATGAACTGAAGAATAGTCAAGAATATTGGAACCGAATGCTATTCGTTCGCCTATACTGAAGCAACTGCATCCTAAATCCTCTAAACATCATGGCTAAATAATCGACAAGTTACTGATTTATGAAACATATGCATAGATTAGCTGATGTCATTTAAAATTTTCAATGGTATGAAAAATAGGTAAGAATCATGTAAAAAGCATACCTTTATAGTTGCAACAAGGCCCAACCTGGAAGAAAATAGCTGCATCAGTTGAATTATTACTATTTTAACTCAGACAAGTGGAGACCATCTAAGAGAACTTTCAAATCTTTCGAAATTCATATACATGTTTATTTCTTAAATCTTTCAATCATACTTGAGATATTATAATAAAGAACACCAAGCAAGCCCCACCAAGAAAAGCTATTGCATATATCACATCATCCTAACACACACCTCACCCGGGAAAGAACAATCAACATCATGAAAATGGACAAGAGCTATATTGATCCTATGAAATAAATTATTAATTTAATTTCTCCAATAATCATACTTTTAACTGATAATGACAAAAACAGAAATCTGGGAATGTCAAGCCATTGAAAATGATATTGAAGCTAAGGTGGCAAACCCTCTCACACACTGTGGGCCTAGGCAATAACTTATACGAGACGGTCTCAATATCTTTTAGAAAAAACTTCATTTATTCAGTAAAACTTAGCTTTCAAAATATTGTGCTTGAATAGAGAGGTACCTTTCTCACATTTCATCACTGAGAAAACGCCTGTGGCGGGTTATCGTTAGGGACATGCGAACAGCAATAACACGAAAAACAATAAACAAGTCGAAGCTCAATTAATCGGATTGCGCTGTCATTATATTGGTCTTAATTGAAACTTCCATTGATCATATTGTTCTTGTTGTGAATCAACTTTCAACAAAAATTATCAAAATCTACGTGAGTGTGATTTTCAGGAATACCACATAAAACACAAACACAGCCCAACAATGTCACACCTAACTCATGAAAATTGATGATCCAACAACCACATATTCCCCGAGGACTGAATAAATTTAAATCACCAAAAGGATTGATTAAAAAAAAAAAAAATATCACCTATCCGCCATGGTGGTTATGGTCTTGAAAGCCAGCAGCAGCGACCGATCGGCGTTCGAGCCCCGACTCTGCCACCTCCCCAGCGACGAGGTCATGGAATCGCCGGCGGCGCCACCGCTAGGCATCGATATGACGGTGGAGAGCCCGCCGTCGGCCAGGAGCGGGTTCGACGGTCCCCCGACCCGGACCGGATCGGTGTCGCCGGACTCGTTGGCGAAATTTCGCCACTCGAATTTCTCGTCAATGGCGTGGGACTCCAGCACGAGGCCGCACTCGGAGCACGTGGTGTCCCCCGCCGCGTGGTCCTCGACCACCTCCGTGTGCCGCTTGCAGTCGGAGCACAGGAAATCCGCCATTACTGAGAATTGTGTATAGGGTTTGAGCTGGAATTTATAGAGGTTTGTGCTTGGCAAAGGGGAAGAAGAATTAGAAGAATCATGTGGGGCTCATGGATAATGGATTTGCCTCTTGTTAACTGT